TGTGTCTGTTGCAACGGTAACTTGTCTGCTAAATGGATTTGGATAACCATCGATAACACGGATAAATAGTCGCTTGGCCGCTTGCGTTTTTATCACCTCGAATGCCTTTGCTCGGCATTCCAGATAATCAAGCTCGCAAATATTCTCTTCTCCTTTGATAAAAAGAAAAAAGAAAAAAAAAAAGCCAGCATAATTTCATCTCGATGATCAATCCGCGATCGCCCCGATTTTTTCCCTTTCTTCCGTTCGACTTTTTTTTATCCTTAAACATCGTCTTAAATAATTTTCAAGCCGTGACATAACAACGATCGAGAGGCGTTCTTTCATCAGAAAAACGTAAACCATCGCGAATTGAAGAGAACTTGGATTGCGAGATCGGAGAAGGAAGAAAGTATATTTCATATGCCAGTCGCAGTATTGTTGTTTCGATTAATTCGACGATGAACGAAGGAACGTAAATTTGTGGGTCGAAGGTGTCCAAAAATCCAAAAATCCTCGTTCCACGCTTGCGCGACAGTGAACTGCGAGTGTGTATCATTTATTTTCAGATCTAGGACAAATCGCACGAGACAGAACGACACGTCGCGAATTCGCCGGATTATATTTAGCATTTGTATCTTGAAATCTTTTCCAGGAAAAACTGCTTCACGTCAGACTACTTCAAAGGATGCTTAGACGTGTTGTTGTTACAAGACGAGGTAGAGAAGATCCAAACATGGATCAAGCAACTACATGGAGCGGAACCCGGGGTTTAGGTAGCTTCGTTTTTTTACGTTTATGATTTAATTACTTATCCGTGTATTTTCATTTCTTTCTTTCTTTCTTTTTCTTTTTCTTTTTCTTCTTTTTCTATACCTTTACGCGTAGAGTAGCAATTCCAATTCTATTCGCCTCGGTTTTTCCTTCCGTCGTCTATCCTCTTACCCCCTTCCTTTTTACTTCTCATCATTCTTTTCTTTCACCCATTCAGCCATCCAATCTTCCACTCCCCATCCCCCATGTTCAACTTCCGATGCTAACGTCTCCCTACGTTCTTTACACGCTTGTTACGTTGTTTCTTTTTCTTTCTGTTTTTTCTTTCTTGAACCTTCTCCTCTTTCTTCTTTTCACTCACTTTTCTCTCAGATCTGAAAGATCTGCTCGTCCTTTTGCTTTTCAATCTCTCTTTGTTCTATCTTTTTGGTTGCACGTTTACTTTCGTTGCTCGTTTCAACAAATTGCTCTCGTTCCTGATACTGTCGACTCGTCGACATTTATTAATCAAACCAAGTAGTAGCTGTTTTCCGATCGAAACTGACTTGCCTTTGACGTCGTCTCAAGAATTTATGAACCACGACTCAACGATGCACACAATACACACGATGATACGCGACATTTGTGCACGCTGCACGTGCCTTTAGGTAATTCTCAAGAGCAAATTTCGCAACAATAGAGCAAACAGTTATATAGTTGCTCGGTATTTCATTGACTCTCTTACTAGCCGAGCTACGAATAAATAGTTCTCCGATTCATTGATCGTACTTTTCCCTTTGCGCGACAAATATACGTGCACGTGTGTTCGTACGTGTACGTAGTTTTTCAATATCGCAACTGTATCGTTTCGGATCTACATGCGCGAAACGAAACGTCGTCTTTTTCACTTTTGCCAAGTCCCTTTCTTTTTTCTTTTTTTTTT